TGGGGGGTGGGGGGTGGGGGGTGGGGGGATGAAGAATTTCCAGCAGAGGAAGCCAAAGCGACTTAGACAGTGAGAGAGAAGAGGGAGAAAGGGATAAAAAGCAAAATATCAAAGTAGTCAGAAACCAGACTCCAAAAAGTCTGCTACTGAATCTGTATTTAATCCCGAGGGTGAGAGGAGCCTTTGGGTAGACTGAAAGTGGGCTTCATGTAGGTGGGTAGAATTTGTGAGTTCTGTTGCTGTCACACAGGAAGTGCAGCTTGGGTTGTACTGTTCCTGGGTGGGCTTTTTCCCAGCAGGCATTAACCAAACCTGGCCTGGGGCATTGGCGCTGGGCCAGCGGCAGGAGACCCCAGGCTCCTGGGTGGGGTGCTTATTCCTGTGCAGTGAGGAGAATGTTTGCTGCTCCAGCGCCACTCTGGTCACAGGCTCTGCTGGTAGTGAGAGGACTGGTAAGGTGGATTGCTGCCATCAGGGTGGAGAGCAGAAAGCAGGGCCGCCTTCCTCATGTCCTGCGGAACCTCCTCTCTACCATTTTAAGAAACTGAAGAGTTATTCTTGCAACGTCAGGTTTCTGAAGCACGTCCGCAGGTCTCAGACTCAAGCACACTAGCACCCTAGCACAGAGCCCGGCTCGCACCTTTAGAACCTGAACCATGCAATCTGAGAATCAGTGTCCTGTCTCAGGGGTGGGACTGCAGCTGCGGGGACACTGCTGTGCTGCCCAGGTAGATGTCCCTCTGTGAAGGAGAGGCTGATGTTACTAGGAATGGCCCTCAGCTGGGGCACCTCTGGAGACAGCCTCAGCCAAGGACAGCTGCCCAAGGTCACGGCTGCCCCCAGCGGCAGGCTCTGAACAGAGACTGATCTGTGTGGGAGTGAGCTACCGGGTCTCACCCCTCTGAGGAGCACTCTGAAGGGTTTCAAAGACCTTCCTGGGACAGCATCCTGTACCCGCTTCTGTGTCACACTGCTTCCCTCAGAGCACTGTGAAGTTCCCTCTGTCCCACCGGGAGCTCAGCCTGCAGTGCTGTCCTCTACCCAGGTGACTCCAGACAGCAATCTGGAAAACCCTGTTTCCATTCCACTTGTCACCGTTTCACTCCAGGTCACCAAGGTCTGTCATCCAAGTAACTGTTCAGGTGGCTGCTTATTGTCTTCCTGTCTTTACCTTCATCTCTATCAAAGGGACTTTCTTCTTATAATTTTATCATGTTTAAGGGACTTATTGAGGTATATTTGATATTCCACAGGCTGCGTATGTTTAAAGTGTACAAGTTGATAGATTTTGACACATGTGTACAACCGTGAAACCAACACAATCAAAATGATAATATCCATCAGTAAGTATATTATTTCTAAATTATAGAAGCTGTGCGCTCTCTCTCTCTCTCTCTCTCTCTCTCTCTCTCTCTCTCTCTCTCTCACACACACACACACACACACACACACACAAACACGAAGTAAAAACAGAAATTCTCTCTACTCTCCCTTAGGATAATCTTAAAACTCAAACCCAGAAAGGTTTCTTTCTTGCCTTAAATATGTTTCAGTTACCTCTAAATAACGACAGGGATTTTTGCTCAAAGGCCTGGAGTGTCTGCCAGCCTGGGTGTGGGTGAACCCTAAAACCAAATCATGTGGGGCCTTGTCTGCGGCCTCTGAGCCTTTGCTGTGCTCTTGGCTTTGCCTCTCTTGCTCTTTTCCACCTTGAATTTTCTTCAGGACTGATATTTGATTTGCCTATTTTCATTTAATACTTCTTTAATATTAATATTTTGATAATTGATAGTTAATGTTTATCGACTGCTTGCTTTTTCTTTGTTCTGTGCTTTCCATACGCCATATCTCTTAACCCCCATAAAATCTATAATTGGTTGGCGATCCTTACGTTGAAGGACGCTGGCTTTAGAACACAACTACCCCCTGAATCCTGAGACCTAGCTGACTGTTCTCTTTCACCAAAACTTTGGTCAAGTTCTGCGTCCACTGCTTGAATAGACTTGACCTTGGGCTTCCCTTCTGCCTTGTAAAATCAATTTGAGCAAGAATCTCTCTCGGTTTAACAAAGCCCCTCCCCCTTGGATATATGACCACCTACCATATCTTGTCCCCTTGGCCTGCCTTCAGCAGCTCAGGGGTCCTATCAAGGTGGTTCAGCAGAAATCCCCTTTTCCTTGATGTTTCCTGTCAGTCAGTTTCCATCTACTGCCCGCCCGCCCTTGATCCTTGGTTAGGAGTCTGCACTTTTCCCTGTTGGCATCTGAATGGAGTCTAGTCTCTCTCCCCCATGCTGTTTGACATTGCAGCGGTCCCCGTACCTATCCCCATGGCCTGCCTCACCATCTTTAACAAGTATTCAGGGAATTTCCTCCTTGACAGGCCCAAGCCAGTCGCTGGTGACCAGCTTCCGTCTGTAACGTCCTGCGGCTCTCCTCCAGCGTGCTTGTTGCTCTCACTATTGGGTTTCTGACTTCCCAGTGAAAGCTGGAGCTGTGTGAAGACGGAGACTGTGTGTGCTCTCTGTCTGTGCGAGCACCTGGGGCATGGCCAGTGTGTGTCACATATCCTTGGGTGGATGCTGAATGAGGGGACAGTAACCTCCACTGCACCTGCAGAGTAGGTTAGTGGCAACAGTCGGGATTCCCAAGTCAGAAAGAAAGCTCGAATCCAAATTCTGTCACCTTTAGTGGGCTTTAACTTCTGAGCCTCCTTTTCTTCATTTCCTCCTTACAGAATTGCTTTGAAGAGTGATGAAGTGATTTGGATCGAATTCCTAGCACAGGATAGGGTACATCTTTTTGTATTTCTATCATTGAATGTAAAGTATAGCAAACCTTGTTATAATTTTTAATCCTTTACTCTGCCTATAACAAAGTATGTAGTAGTCAAATAAGTAGTGACTATTGTTTTAATCAGAACATTTTTTATTAACAAGTATTAATGGCACATATGAAGGTTGCCCAGTGTGGTATTTCAACACGTGGATGCAGCACGTCCTGGTCAATTAGTGGGATGCTCATTTCCCTCTCTTATTTGGAGCCTCTGAGCTCTTTTCTTCTAGGTCATTCATAAAATACCCGATCAGTTATTGTGAACTACAATCATCTTGTCACTGCGTGGGGGTCCAAGCAGCTCTCCAACCGCGGAGGAGGCCTCTACTCCGACCTTCCAGATTCTTGTCCATGTTACAGAAAGGAATCTAAGGATGCATTAGGCACGAGGGGAAAAGCAGGAGATTTCTTAATAAAGGAACAGCACACACTTGAGAATGGAGTGCATTGAGAGGAAGTGGGTCGCCTCATCTTGGTCTGGGGCTCGACACCCATACAGGGAGCAGCAGCAAGGGGGCTGCGCTGGAGTGAGGCGGGGGGCGTTATGCGATTCCACGCCATTTTCCTTGCACCTGCCCAAGCCCTGTCTGTGTGGATCGGGCTGCTTCCTAGGTTGCGTGCCCGTTGACGCCTTCAGTCTCCACCCAGGGCTGAGTCTTACTGTTGTACTGAGGCTGGGGCATTTCCCTGTCACCAAAGTCATCACCAGACCCTGTGGCAGTGTTTTCTCCAGGGGCCTTGTGATCATCTTATGGCTCTCTTGTTTCTTCAGCCAGCTGACAAGCTGTAGGCAAGATGCAAGGACGTGGCAGGTTGCTCACCTTTGTTCTGCATTCTCATGGCTTGTGGGCACTTCTCTTTTGAGACTCCTTGCCCTCCTTGTACCCCTAAGTTCCTACCTCAATCTGTTTGCCTTCCCAACCCCAGTACTTATTCCTTGCAACTGTGTCTTGGTACCCATCATCTGACCTCCTTTCATGCCCCACAACCCTTCCCGGCTTCTGGTGGCCACTAGTGTCTGTTCCACTCTTTTGCTTCCACATGAGAGAGAACATGCAGTATTTACCTTTCTGTTTCTGGCTCGGTTTACTTAAAACAGTGTCTTCTAGGTCCATCCATTTTGCTGCAAAGGACAGGATTTCATTCTTTTTAAAAACATATTTCTAATTTTTTTGCAGGATTTCTTTCTTACGGCCGAGTGACATTACACTGTGCCGGGGGGCGCCTAGGTCAATTGCACATCTTGGCCGACGTGAACAGTGCCTCGGCAACCACGGAAGTGCAGGAGTCTGATGTGCTGCCGTCGTTTGCTTTGGTCATACACCTAGAAGTAGGACAGCTGAATCATCTGGTAGGTCTATTTTTACTTTAGTTACTACTGTTAAAAGATAAACAGGCACATTAAAATTTTAACAAGTTTATTTGAGCATCCAGTGATTCGTGAGTCAGGCAGCACCAGACTGCAGTCGGCCCCACGCTCCACAGAGGTGCACCAGGGGGAAACTTCCATAAGCCATTGGAGTAGGCAAGACCAAGAAAATGTTCCATTAATGTGCAAGAGGTTGCTTGGCAAAGTCTCTAGCTAGAATCAGTGTCTTCCAATCAACTGAGCTTAAGTTTCATTTTCTGAGCTTAATTTCATTTTCCTATTTATGTTGAATTGGGCTTCAGCTTGCTTATGCAGGAACTCAAGGTGCTGGAGCTTTCTCAGCTAATGGCCTTCTGATTAATTATTTTAACTGTGTATTAGTGCCAGGAAACAGTTCTGTGGGGCTAGGGCTATGATTTCAATCTCTTTACAAGTCAAGGGATAAACAAGGCGAAGTTCTTTTAATCACCATTTCTCAGCAGAGTGGCTGAGGGGTGGAGTGGAGCCAGGATCCACCCTGCCTAGATGACATGGGGTTCGTGCTGCTTAGAAGCTACATAGATCCACAGACCTGGGGTAGGTCTGGGTTCATTGAGTTGTAGTTTCCAGTTTTGCCTCGTTTGTTATATGAATGATCAAACATACACGTAGAATTTCTCTACCTAGAAAATTGTTCCTAGTCTGCCAGGCAGTGATCCTCTACCTTGCTGAAAGAAATGGCATCCGAGGAACTGTTAAGATGATGGGTTCTGCCTCTCTCCACTGTGGAGGGATGTGCCTTTATTTGTCAGCTCTGATAAATAAACTGTCTTGTGTGTCTCTGGGAAAAAAAAAATGGGTTCTTTGACCCTACCCTCCAGAATTTCTGATAAGGGTGTGGGGTGGTCCTTAGATCTTGTCTTTTCAAACCATTGTTCATGAGATTCCGATGTGTGAAGGTGACATAGGGAAAACTGAGTCAATCTCTTATTTGTTTGATTTTTGCCTGTGAATAATATGAATTTATTTGCCCATGTCATCTGCTTGCAAAATGCAGCGTAAGGCTCTGTGGAGAGGGCCGAGTGATGCTTTATGCATGCTGATGCTTTGGGAATGAAGTTGGGCTGGTAGAAAAATTAGTGTGCTGATGGAATGTGCTTGTATACAAGCTGGTGTGTGATCAGACACAGACAGGATAGCATAAACTACTTGGGCCTGCGGAATTCCAGGCCAGGAAAGGGTGAAATACAATTGCTTGGCAGAAGCTGGGTGTGGTGGTGCACACCTGTAATCCCAGTGGCTCCTGAGCCTGAGGCAGAAGGATTGTGAGTTCAAAGTCAGCCTCAGCAAAAGCGAGGTTCTAAGCAACTCAGTGAGACCCTGTCTTTAAATAAAATACAAATAGGGCTGGGGATGTGGCTCAGTGGTTAGGTGCCCTTGATCTCAATCCCTGGTACTCAAAAAAAAAAAAAAATTGCCTGGTAGATAATTTATCGAGCATACTGTTCATCCAGAACTATCATTTCTTTACTGATGTGCAAAGAGAAAGTAGTGATAGGTACCTTCCTGTGCAGAGTGGCCCTGCTGTCACCTATCCTGTGGGCAGTCCTCTGGCTTCCATGGAAACTGGGAATGGTAGTGGCATAGGAACAGTGGGTGTCCCCTCTCACACAATTTGGAGATGTGTAATAATACTTATTCATTGCATTTTGTGTAATTAGGAATTTAATGGTTGCTATGTTGGAAAATGTTGGTTCAAACATTAAATCCAATCAGCAAATATTATTGAGTATCTGTTGTATATAGAAGAGTCTTTCTAAACATTCAGTGGAAATAAAAATATTGGTACTTTACTTTGATTCAGAGCACATCTAAAACTAAATATTTTACAAGCTAAAGTTTTCTCAAATTTCTGTTGTTAGTGTCTGTTTTTAGTACAAAGGCTACTGTTGTGACCTGTTGCTCAACTGTCAATTATGCTTTGCAACTTTTGCATTTATAGGTGTGAGGTTTGTTTTTTGAGGGTGCTCTGTACTGTGGCAGATGACTGAGTCACAGGATAGGCTGTTAACACAGGACTTTATGGGTGATTAAGCATCTCATGGAAAGGCATGGATTCAGGTTCTGATGCCCCCGCCCCCTTAGTTTTAAATTTATCCTGTCAGGTTTTTTTTTTGATGACTGATATGAAACATTTTTCCCTGAAAAAAATTATTAAACTGATGCTGAGTTAAAATATCAGGAAGAAACAGATAACTAAAAATAACAGGATATGATCAACAGTTTTGATTCATAGCCTATTTTTATCCTTTTCTGGAATTCGGGCACCCAGATTTGTATTTGCAGAGAAATACCAATAAAAATGAGATTGCAGTTTTCAGTTTTGAAATTCTTTTCTTTTTAATTGTTAGCCTTTTTGAAAGATGGTCACTTGAGAACTTGATCCATTAGTGTCTACTCTCATGAAGTCATTTCTCCTGGCTAGTCATTGGGGTACTTAAAGGCTTGTGGTTCATCTTACGGGCATCAATGAAGTTACTGTTGTTAATGTTTAAAAAGGCTCCATCTCTTACAGCTACTTGTGGAAATATTTATAGGCAAAATGGTACAATGTCTTGATTTCACTTTTAAGGTATTCCATCAAATCAAACCAAAGCAAAAGGAAAAAAATGAAACATAGTATTAAGATGGCAGAATGTTGCTAATTATTTAGAGTTGGCTGTGGGTACATGGGATTCATTGAATTCTCTCATTTTATGAATTTTTAAAAATTTTCACAGCAAAATGTTTTTAAAAGGTTTCTCTCCATGACACACTCTACACCATATTTTTGCTTCACCCACTTTTAGAAATCTTTCTTTGGATGAACCTTCTGTCTTGGTTGGGTCTGCCTGCTAAAATACAATACTGCAGCGGGGCTGAAACCACAGACAGTTGCTTCTCACAGTTCTGGAGGCCAGAAGCACAAGATCAGGGTGCTGGCCAATTCAGTTCCTGGCGAGAACTTCTTCCCCAGATTGGAGAGAGACAGAGACAGAGAGACGCGTCACATCTCTTCTTATAAGGCACTAATCGAATCAGGGAGGCCCATGACCTCATCTAAACCTCACCACCTCCTGGCAGTCCACCTCCCAATACCATCACATGTGAATGGTGGTGGGAGCAAATACTTGGTGCATAATTCCTGTTCCAGATGCACATTTAGAATGTACCGAGTGGTAATACCCCCTCGTTCTTTGTTCAAACATAAATTTAGCACACTTTGTTGAATGTGTGCTTAGCATGGGGTGAGGTTGCTGCTGCTGCAAAGGGAGCCCAAGATCTGCTTCCTATGAGCAAGTCACTTGCCTAAGATTTTATTATTATTATTATTATTTTGCAGTCCTGAGGATGGAATCCTGGGTCTTATGCATGCCAGGCAAGTGCCTTCCTACTGAGCTACACCCCCAGCCCCTGGTCTTCAGTTTCCTTGTTTGAGAATGAGCAGACTGGACTCAGTGACCTCCACAGTCTTCTTCCAGTTCCATGCTGCTGCAGCCACTTTGGAGAACAACCTGGCACTATGTATTTAATCTAAGGACACAGAAAGGAATGTTTGCTTTTTTTTTTTTGATATAGTGATGAGGACCTGTATCGACCGTGTTCATCACTGGATGCTTGTTTGAGTGAGTGGCAGGATGTGGTGGATGCACACTCTTTGCTACTATCTAGCACTTGCAATAGCAGATTACATATACTTGCAGCCTATAGATACATTTTAAGACTGTAAATGTCTAGTACAAAAGAAGTAAAAGAAGAAAGGAATATGTGACACTCTACCATTTAATTAAAAATAGATGCACTTTTCATAAGAACACATCCCAACAAAAAATATCATTAAACATGAGTGTGTATAGTAGGAGTTAAATAGAATGGGAGAGAATACAAAGATGAAAAGGGAATAACCAAGAGGCGAGGTTTGTATGGACAAAAAATGATAATATCATTTAGTAAAATGCCTTTAAAGTTTATCCATGCTGTTGCCTGTATCAGAATGGCCTTTCTTTTTAAGGCTGAATAAGCTTCCATTATATGTACAAGCCACATTTTGTGTAACTGTTTGTGTGTTTCTGGCTACTTGAGTTGTTCCCATTTTGGGGGGTTGTATTGTGGATCATGCTGCTGTGAGCATTGGTGTGCAAACCAGCTGTTTTGTGTTTCATTGTTGTATTCCTTATTGCATTGCATGATTTTCAGGAGGTTCAACATGTATTTTTACGCTGCTGTGATTATTTCAGTAAGTTCTTTTGAAGCTGCATTTAAAAATAATTAGATGATTCTCATAATCCAGTAAGTCTAGAAATCACTTCCTAGATTGGGGGCAGGAGAATCATTGATGACAGGAAGAAGTGTCGTGCTTACAAGCAGGTTAGATACATAAACGCCAGTTCTGTTGGCCCTCATCTGTCAGAAATGCTCCTGCTCCTGTGAACCACTGTGCAGGCAGACAGAGGATGAAAGCCATAGGCTAAGATTGTCTAATTCCCTTTCCAGGCCAGCCATATTTTAGGACAATCCCTCTTGGGCTCTGCTGTCAAGAATGACAAGCTTGGCTCAGCACTTCTGTGCACATGCTGATGCACAAGTGAGGGAAACTCATTCCATGTCAGAGGAGCTATTGGTTCTCGGTAACATTGTAACTAACGTAAAAACTTCCAAGAGTCATCAGTTAGTCCAAACTCATTTCTGGTAAATGTTTTAGATTTGTATCAAGGGAATAATGTGAGAACTCCAAGGAATAAGTTTGATGACATAAGCAAACTAGAGTCCTGGGAATATCTTTCAGGCAATTTGCTAGTGAACTGCTGCTTAATCGCCTTAAAACAATGGTATAGTGAGTCAGGGAAAAGCAGCACAAGATTTTATGATGAGAGATATTCCAAGGTGGCTTTATGGAGGGAGAAAAAATGTACAATCAGTTGATGGTGCATTTTTATTCATTCACTAACATTTATTGAGCTGCT